CTTTCTTTCTTTCTTTCTTTCTTTCTTTCTTTCTTTCTTTCTTTCTTTCTTTCTTTCTTTCTTTCTTTCTTTCTTTCTTAAGACAGGGTTTCTCTGTGTAGTTTTGGTACCTGTCCTGGATCTTGTTCTGTAGCCCAGGCTGGCCTTGAACTCAGAGATTTGCCTGGCTCTGCCTCCCGAGTGCTGGGATTAGAGGCATGTGCCACCAGCACCCGGCTGCAGTGACATTTCTGACTGTGGGTCAACACTCCTTCTGTGGCAGACTTTTACAGTTCCTCCAGTGCATCTGAGCTGGCTATCTCAGAGTAACCTGCAGCTTTCCTGAGAACGCCTCGTTTTCCTGCTATGAACTGTGGCTCCTTCCTGCTGTTTTAAAAACCTTCTGTTTCCACAGTTACCACCATAGGGACTGCCTAGGCATCCTCTACCACACAGGTTCATAATTTGGTCACCATTGTCCACTGTAATTTCCAAAAGTCATTGAGTTCCCATCACCACCATAGTTACCTCCACTAAAATTTATTCCTTCATTGTAACAATTGTGTTTTCTTCCTTCACCTCCATATCCACCACCTTGGTTTCCATATCATAGTCCACCACCACCAGAACCTCCTCTATTAGTATAACCAGGACCAGCACCAAAGCCGCCACCATCACCTCCATGTCCATCATATCAATGACCAGCACCTCCACAACTACCTCTGCTGTCACCACCTCCAGTACCATAGCCTCTTTTCCTACCAACTTTCTACCATTTACCAAAATTACCTCCACCACCTCCAAAGTTTCCTCCATGACCCATAAAGTTGCCAGATCTACTCCATGACCTCTCTGTGACTCAGCAGGTTGCACTGTCTGGGCCTTTAGAAAGGGCCTTTTGTCACCTCACGATTATGCCCATTAATAGTTTGGTATTTTGTCCAAAGAATCATAAGGACATACTTTAAAAACCTGTACTCTACCAAACTGGAAAAAAAAAACTAAAATAAATGGATAATTTTCTTGATAGGTGCCACTTATCAAAGTTAAATCAAGATTACATAAACAGTTTAAATAGACCTATAACCCCTAGGAAACAGAAGCAGTCATCAAAGGTCTCCCAACCTGTAGTTGTTGTTTTTTTACTCTTTTGGTCAGTTGGGGGCCCAGTACCCAGCTCCTAACTAAATCATACAGAGGCTTATTCTTTCTCATGAATGCCTGGTCTTAGCTGGGCTTGTTTCTTGCCAGCTTTTCTTAACTTTTCCCATCTATCTTTTGTCTCTGGGATTTTTTCTTTCTCTATTGTATATACCTTTATTTCTTTCTCTGTGGCTTGCTGTGTGGCTGGGTGGCTGATCCCTGGAGTCCTCCTCTCCTCCTCTTTCTTATTCGTCGATCCTGCTCCTTCCAGATTTCTCCTCCTATTTATTCTCTCTGCCTGCCAGCCCCACCTATCCTTTCTCCTGCTTTGCTATTGGCTGTTCAGTTCTTTATTAGATGAATCAGGGATTTTAGATAGGCATAGCTCCACAGAGTTAAACAAATGCAACATAAAAGAATGCAACACATCTTTGCATCATTAAACTGATGTTCCACAACATAAACAAATATGACACATCTTTAACTAATATTCTATAATATCAACCAAAAAAAAAAAAAGCCCAGGACCAGATGGTTTTAGTGCAGAATTCTACCAGACTTTCAAAGAAGAGCTCCTCACAAGTACTCCTCAAATTATTCCACAAAATAGAAACAGAAGGAACATTGCCAAATTCATTTTATGAGGCCACAGTCACCTGATACACAAACCACACAAAGATTCAACCAAGAAAGGGAATTAAGACCAACTTCCCTCATGAACAGCCATACAAAAATACTCAATAAAATACTCACAAACCAAATCCAAAATCACATCAAAAAGACCATCGACCATGATCAAGGCTTCATTCCAGAGATGCAGGGATGGTTCAGCATATGAAAATCTATCAATGTAATCACCATATAATCAAACTTAAAAAAACCATATGATCATCTTATTAGATGCTGAAAAAGCCTTTGACAAAACCCAACACCCCTTCATGATAAAAGCCTTGGAGAGATCAGGGATAAAAGGGACATACCTAAACATTATAAAGTCAATCTACAGCAAATCTATGGCCAACATCAAATTAAATGGAGAGAAACTCAAAGCAGTTTCATTGAAATCAGAAACAAGACAAGGTTGTCCTCTCTTTCCATATCTATTCAATAGAGTACTTAAAGTTTTATCTAGAGTAATAAGACAACTGAAGGAGATCAAGGGGATAACAATTGGAAAGAAAGAAGTCAAATATCACTATTCACAGATAGTATTAAACATAAATGACAATCAGAAAAATAAAGTATCTTCAAAAAATGGTACTCATCAAACTGGATAGAAGAATGCAAATTGATCTATATCTATCACACTGCACAAAATACAAGTCCAAGTGGATCAAAGACCTCAACATAGAACCAGACACACTGAACCTGAAAGAAGAGAAAATGGAGAAAAGCCTTGAATGCATTGGCATGGGAGACAATTTCCTGAACAGAACATTGATGGTGCAGGTACTAAGATCAATAATTAATAAATAGGACCTCATGAAACTGGAAATCTTTAGTAAGGCAAAGGACACCATCAACAGGACAAAATGGCAGCCTACAGAATGGGAAAAAATTTTCACCAACTCTACATCCAACAGGGAGCTAATATCCAAAATATATAAAGAATGCAAGAAACTAGACATAAAAAATAAAGCAATTTTAAAAAAATGGGGTACAGATCTAAACAGAGAATCCTCAACAGAGGAATTCTAAATGGTTGAGAAACAAATAAATGTTCAACATCCTTAGTCATCTAGGAAATCCAAATCAAAACTACTTTGAGATTCTATTTTACACCCAATGGTCAAGATCAAAAACACAAGTGATAGCTCATGCTGGTAAGGATATGAAGTAAGAGGAACACTCCTTCATTGCTGGTGGGAGTGCAAATTTGTACAGACACTATGGAAATAACATGGTGGTTCCTCAGAAAATGAGGAATTGATCTACTTCAGACCCAGTTATAGCACTCTTGGGCACATGCCCCAAAGGTCTCTCATCTTATCACAAGGACTCTTGCTTAACTACATTCATAGCTGCTTTATTCATAATAGCCAGAAATTGGAAACAATTGAAATGTCCCTTAGCTGAAGAATGGATAAAGAAAATGTGGTACATTTACACAATGGAGTACTACTCAATTGTTACAAACAACAAAATTTTCAGGCAAATAGATGGAACTAGAAAAAAAATCATCTTGAGTGAGGTAACCCAGACCTACAAAGACAAACATGTTTACTCACTTTTAAGTGGACATTAGCTGTTAAGTAAAGGATAATCACACTACAATCTACAGAAGCAGAGAAACTAAGTCACAAGGAAGGCTCAATGGGGACACATGGATCTCCCAGGGAAGGGGAAATAGAATAGATTTTTTTAACATGACTAATAAAATTTATTAAACATATTTACATATATTCACAGATTCTTTCATAGTTGAGTATTAAAATAGACATTTACAATTTCAGAATTTCCATTCAAAGGCATTGGTTGTTGTTCTCCAGTGAGACGGAAGAGAGCTCCTGCTTCTCTGATGACATTCTGATCAGTGTGCCCCACACACAAAGTCCCCGGTTTTCTTGCAGGAAACTGGGAAGAGAAGTCTCACACTGTCTCAGGCGTCAGTTACAGAAAGAGTTAAATTATAGAAAGCATGCGACACAATTAAGCCACCATCTTGACAGTTATGGGATGGACACAAGCTAGCTCAAACCCACGCATGCCTAGTCAAAGGTTCACTATTTGAACACACTGCTATGACACTCCACAACGACAACTTTGGTCCAACGAACAGACAGTTTTACAGTCATCTCTGTGTACAGTTTTGAGGGCCAGTCCCTTGTATACATTGACCATTAATTACAAGATGTACAATATGTATAAAATAAGTTATTAAAAAGGAAGACAATATTAAAACTTTCAAAAAAGAAAACTGTACAATTAATTTACAGATAAAATAAACTGAGGAATTTTGTGCCAAGATTTTTCTTCTGCATTAGAAACTATTTGGTAGGAATTGGATCTTTGTGTTTACTCATGTACTTTTAATAAAACCCACAGAGATCTGAGTACTTGTGGTTGGTTATCTTGTTACTTGGAGTGCTAACAACTTCCAGCGCTGTTAACAGGTTTTCTCAACTTTTTAAAGATCTACTCAGCTTGCCAACATTTTCTAATGCAATAGTTACCTTTGATGAATATAAATAATAGTTTTCTGTTAGAAATTGTATTTGGACCTAAGATCCAAAATATTTTTCTTTATTTTTATAAAATGACAGTGTTCACTACATAACCAACTTTAGTTAACTTCACTAACAACTGTAAAGGCATATTATCAGGGTTTTTCTTAAAGGCAGTATTCCACAGTGTAACTCTTGTATCGTTAGTTTAGGATGATACCCAGGCAAGTACCAACTGCTATATAGGAGTCAATTCAAAATCATCGTTAACATCAACCAGGGGAACGTAAAACTCCTGGATCTCATAAATACTGATAGACTTGTAGGTGGCAGGATCGAGTTCCTGGAGCCTGAGCTGCCATTCTAGTCTCTGGACGGCATTTAACGCTGCAGCTTCGTGTTGCTGCCTCATTAAAAGACAGGTCTTTAGTTTGTCAAACTTATCATCCACATCTTGTAACCAGGACATGAACTGTCTTGCATTAAATCGATCTCTCACAGAAGTTTTACTGTCATCAGACTGTGAGTCCAAGGGCACGTTGTACACCTCTGCGTCCAGCAGGACGGTGCAAGCACTAAACGGCAGCGTCTGATTGGCCAGTGTCCTCGCAGCTCTGTAATGGACTCGCAGAACTTCTTGTTCATTGGATACAATAAGTTTTTCCCTTTCGATACTATGTTGCAAACGTAGTTTCATTCTTACTACTTCCTGTTGCCGAAAGAGCTCTTTAAGTGGATCTGACAGCGAAGGTGGTGGAGTAATTGTAGGAATACAAATCTTGCTTAAGGGGTTTCCATCCAGGAGATATGATCCATTAAATGTTACATACTCATCATAATACTGCAGAGCTTGAGGAATAACGCTACATAATAACTTGCGGTTTTCTTCAGTTTTTTTCCTTATGTGCAAATACTCAAAGTACGGATTTGCTCTCTCAGAACTGTATGACTGAATCTCATCTAGTTTCAGAGAATCAACGATGGCTGCTAGAGACTGCTGCGTTTTCTCCTTTGCCTGTAGTAAAGGACTCACTTGCACAGGCTGAGGGACCCGTGACACTTTCCTTTTCTGGGGATGGTGAATCTGGGGATCGTCTTCTTCAGTGAGCCTTATCATCCACATCTTGTAACCAGGACATGAACTGTCTTGCATTAAATAGATCTCTCACAGAAGTTTTACTGTCATCAGACTGTGAGTCTTCCCTGTACAATTAATTTACAGATAAAATAAAAAGACAATGAGGAGTCATTGTCTTTTTCTGGCAGAAGTGTACAGCCAGCAACAATCTGCTTGCTCTGATTTACCATTGTGCTCGATTTGTTTCGAGTCATCCTTTGGGGGATTTGGTTTTCAGTTTTATCGTCTTCAGCACTTTCTTCTAATTCTCCTTTAATTAGCTGGTCATATTTATGCATCTCCGGGTGGGCTGACTGCTGGGAATGGTTTCCCACACTTGACAGAGTGCTCTGCTGAGATTCTTCATCCTCAATGGAAAGCAAGTACTTTTCACCATCAGGACCGTGCCTTGGATTCTCCTGTTCATTTAGGTTTCCTTTTGACATCCCTGCATTCATTTCATACAAATCAGAATCACATTTACTCAACGGAGTTATGACCAAACTTTGCAGTTTGTTTTCTTTTTCATGGGAGATAACTTGTGTATCATCTGTGCTCTTCTCAACTTCATGGCTACTGGAAGACTTGTAAGTGAGTTTGCTAAACGCATACTGTGTATTTATCTGAGAAGGGGCGTCACTTCCGCTGAAGTCCTTTTCTGATGGCAACACAAGCAAAGTATTCGCCTTCTCAAAGTTTGGGAGTGTTTCTTGAATAGTGCTCTCCGAGTAAACCGGTACAAAAGAATTCGTCTTCTGAATGTCTGATAGAACAAACGTATTTTCCATCTCCTTGTAAAGTTACTGTCACTATCTAAAACAGAGCTAATCATATGAGCTGCATTTCTCTGTTGTGAAATACCTGGTTCTTGATTGGCAACATATGACAAAGACACAGGTTTAGAAGCAGACTCAGCATCTGAATGTGACTGGTTGGAAAAAGAGCAGGGTTGTGGTGAAGACAGAAAGGATACTGGATCCTGAGCACACGAGTTTCCTGGCAGATCAGTCTGGTGTAGGGATAAGCAATCAGTATTTTGTTCTCTTAACATTTTGCTTTCTGAATTACAAAAACTCTGAGCAGAGGAATACTGGTCAGATGTACTAGAATCTGGGCAGATAACCTCATTGGTGCTTAAAGACTCTAGTTTATCAACAGGCATCTCCCATGATTTATTTTGGATCACTCCAACCTGATTAGATGGTTCCAAGTGCATAGGACTGTCCATTAAAGTACCCACAAGACTAGCACTCTTGATTACATTTGATTCAGATGCAATATACCTGCTGTTTACAGACCTAGTTGGGGAGCCTGTAAAGCTGGGGTGTAAGTCAGACACATGCGAAAGGCCTCTTTCTGGCATTGCTGAAGATACTTCAGGTTTGGGGGAAGGGGAAGTCTCTCTTGGCACAGCTAAGCTGCCTTGGTGGCTTTCATCTGATATCTGGAAATGTTTTGTGGGTTCACAAATGACTGAGGGCATGCTACATCTTCTGATTTCCACAGCAGGCCGTACCTCATTAGTAATTAATTTAACATCTTCCACAGAAGATGACCTGAGATGGCACACCGGAAGTCTGTTTGTACATGGTGGTTTAAGTCGTTCCGGCATGTCAGCAAGGCTCTCCAGCTCCCTTTCATAAAGGGCTGGAGATTTGGCATTTGGCAAAAAAGGTGACTGGGAGAACGACAATTGAGATTCTGAGCCCTCTAACATAAAGTCAGAGTCATATTCAACAAGAGGCCGAGGGGTTGTCACTGTTTGGCAAGAGTCTTCTGAACTAGCAACAGAAATTATGGACACAGACCTAGAGCTAAGACCCAGCCTCTCACTTTCTGACCTAGGAGAGCGGTTTGAGCTGTTCTCTGAAATAAAAGATGACTTCCCTAAATTCAGTACATTTTTGGTGTCAACAGATTGTGATCTATTACTTCCAACATCTTTAGATTGTTTCTCCTTGTTATAAACATCAGTCAATTCTGAACTTCTTGACCTGGTAAATTCTTTATTTTTTGATTCAGTGGGTGTATGTTTTGTTTTTTCTTTATCTTTTACTTTAAGTTCTAAACAAGTATGGTTTCTTAATTGTTCTTTTTCTTTTTGCTTAATTTTTTCCTTATGTTTTTTGTGCCACTGTTCTATCTCTAGGTCTTTAAGGCTGAGCATCCGTTCAAAACTTGTCTGCATTAGATCATCATTGACTAGCCTCTTTTCTTTAGGTCGGATGTCTTTCGATGCCGGTGATGACTTAGGTTTAGGCTTATCTGTTTCAGATTTTAGTTTGATTAAAGTAGTTGGATTTTATCTTTACGTTTGTCTCGTTCTTTGTATCTGTCTATATCTTTTTTATCTTTCTCTTTTCCATCTGGAGTTTTCAAAGGTTCATCCCTTGCCTTTTCTTTAAGGGACATAGTTTTCTCGTGCTGGATTTTACTACTACTGTCTCCTGTACTTGGCCTTTTCTCTTCTTGCAAATGTCTGTAGTTAGTAACATTTATACTTTCTTTATCTCTAAATTTTTCCTTCTTCTCTCCTTCCCTGTCTTTATTTCTGACCTTTTCTGATTTAGTATACTCACTATTATCAGACTTTTTTTCCTCTAAGTGCTTTTCTTTGCTTTCTGCTAAACACCTCTCCTTTTCAGGTTTTTCTTTGTCATGCTTTCTATCCATTTTTTCTCTGTTCCTCTCTCTGTCATCAGTTTTTTTAATAGTGTTTTTTATTTTCTCCCCTTCTTTATGACCCCTTTCTGTTTGGTGTGAATATAACTTGTCCTTTTCTTTTACTCTGTCAACACATTCACTAAAATCCAATTTCTCTTTTTCTGACTTATGTTCATGTTTTATCTTTTTTTCTTTTTCAGAAAATTTTCGTTCAGTCTTGTCAACCTCTTTTTCCTTAGTTTGAAATCGTCTGTCTGATTTCTCCCTTTCTTTTGTATGCTTTTCTTGTTTTTCAATGTCTACGTCCTTTTCCATGGAATGTAGCCCTACCGAGTCCTGGTTTACACTGGCCCCCACAGAACCACACTCTACTTCTTTATCTGTGGGTACACTGTCTCTTTCTTCTTTCAGCTTTTCTTCCCTAAGAGATCTTTCACTTTCCTTTTTAGTCTTTTCCCGTTCTTCTTTAAAGTTCCTCTCTTTTGAGACATGTTTTTCCTTGGTTAATTTGTCATCTTTCATGGTTTTTTCAAGTTTTGACTTTTTTTCTGTTAGGGATTCATGTTCCATATTTAAAAAGAGATCCTCAGTTTCATCGCTTTTAAAAAATTCTCTTTCCAAAATTCTCTGTCAAATTCAATGCTCCTCTGCAGCTCTTTAGCATTTTCCTTATTTTTGTATTTGTCCTTTTCCCCTTCAACTTCCTTTTTGTGCTTTTCCTTCTCCTTCTCTTTATGTTTCAGTTTGTGTTTTTTTAGTGTTTTGCCTTCCTTATCCATCTTTTTTAACGTGCACTCTGAGTTTTCAAATGCTGGATTATGATCCTCATCTTTTATTTTGGCATTTGACTTTTCACCAAATTCTAGGTGGAAATCTTTCTGATGTTTGTTTTTTTCCTTATGCTTAGAATAGATTTTTTGAGTGGACTCCAGCCAGAGGGCATGGGAATAGTAGGGTCCAGGGGTGGGAGGTGGAGGAAGAGAGTACTGGGAGAGATGACTGGAATTAGGAGGCATTTGGGGGGTGATGTAGAAACCTAGTGCAGTGGAAACTGCCTGTAATCTACAAGAGTGACCATAGCAAAGTCTCCTAGTAATGGGGGAGCCTGAACTGGCCAGCTTATATAACCAGGAAAGGCTCCCAGGAGTGAGACTGGGATATCAACCCAGCCACAAAAACCTCAACCTACAATTTAATCTGCCTGCAAGATGTGCTGGGTTCATAGTGACACAGAACTTGTGGCAGTGGCCAGCCAATGACCAGTCCAACTCGAGGCCCACGCCAGGAGAGGGGGTCCATGCTGATGCTGCATGGATGGCCAGGAACCAGAGGCTGGGAGGCCCAGAGGCCCAAGTTAGGACCAAATACGACTGGCAAAACCAAAAGAAAATAAACAAATAACCAAAAAGTCAATGAAATGATTCCTAATGATATTCTAGTATACTCATAGATCAGTGCCTAGTCCAGTTGTCATCAGAGAACCATTCTCCTCTGATGGGAGCAGATGCAGATACCCACAGCAGATATAGATTCAGAGGTCCACAGAATCAGCTAATCAGGACTCATAGGGGCTCACAGAGACTGAAGCAACAGTCATGGATCCTGTATGGGTCTGAGTTAGGTCCTCTGCATATACCTTATGGTTGTGTAGCTTGGTGTTCTTATGGGACTCCTAACAGTAGGAGCAGGTGCTGTCTCTGACTCTTTTGCCTGTGCTTCGGACCTCCTACTGGGTCACCTCATCCAGGGATCTGAGCCCAGCATGTTTTGGCATTTTTGGCCTCTGTGCAAGTTAGGACTAAAGATATTTTTTAGGCTTATGGCCAAGACCATGAATGGGGATTCTTGTCCCTAAACTGCCTGTCTCATTACTTCTATGCTCTCCTGTCCTCATCAATGCCCCCCACCCTAGAAGAGGTAACCTTAACTGCCATTTAAGGGGTTGGAGTTATGGCCAAATCTGGCTGTTTTGGAACTCTATATTGCCCAGGTTGGCCTTGATCTCATGATCTTCTTGCCTCAGACTCATGTATTGTAGAATATTATTTTAATTATGTAAAGATGTGTTACATTTGTTTATGCTGTGGGATATTACTTTAACTGTATAAAGGTGTGTTACACTTGTTTATGGTATATTTGTTTAATTTTGTGAAGATGTGTTGCATTTGTATCACCTTGTCTGCCTAAGGTACCTGATTGGTCTAATAAAAAGCTGAAAGGCCAATAGTTAGGCAGGAGAGGGATAGGTGGGGCTGGCAGGCTGAGAGAATAAGTAGGAAGGGAAATCTAGGCTCAAGAAAAAGAACAAGAGAAAGAGAGGGACATGCCCAGGGCCAGAAGCTAGGCAGCCAGCCAGCCACTAGAAGTAGGAAAGAAAGAAAATTTTATATATATATATATATATATATATAGAGAGAGAGAGAGAGAGAGAGAGAGAGAGAGAAAGGCAAAAAGCCCTGAGGCAAAATGTAGATGAAGAGAAACAGATTAAATTATAAGAGCTAGGGGGACATGCATAAGATAGGCTGAACATTCCTAACTAGTAAGTCTCCATGTAGCCGGGCAGTGGTGGCACACACCTTTAATTCCAGCACTTGGGAGGCAGAGTCAGGTGGATCTCCATGAGTTTGAGGCCAGCCTGGTCTACAGAGTGAGTTTCAGGGCATCCAGGGTTACAGAGAAACCCTGTCTCAGGTGGTGGTGGGGACTCTGATTTGGGAGCTGGTTGGTGGCCTAAAAGAAAGTCTGGTACACTCATGTGCTGAGGCTACAGGTGTATAGCACCACTCAGTGGCCATTCTTAGTTTAAAAGTCAATCTTATTTCATCAAAAATGAGTATAGTATCAAAATAGATGACTTGAAATGTGAAATCTGGAACAGGCCAGAGAAAGCTGACTTAGTGTCCTCATGTGGAGACAGAGCACTGACAGAGAGAAAATGTCTGGACTTAGATCTCAACTGTGCCATCTGCTCTTGCACACATCTCTTTAGAACGTGGCATTCATGTAAACACAAGCCACGTTCTAAAGAGAAGTCACTAGGCTGCCTTTTCTCACTCACAAATATTTTAAAAGTTTGGGCTAGGTGAAACATGGGAGTGTGCTCTGCTATACAATTTATGTCATAGCCTGTTTCCCTTACAAGAACCATTTTGAATCCTTGCCTCATGTACCTGAGAATGAAGGTAAAGAAACGTCATCTAAACCTGTGGAAAAATTCTGATTCTGACCTTAGAGGAGGTGCTTGGCAAAGCAGGAAATACAAAGGACGATCTTAAGAAGAATCTCAGTCATCCAGAATTCAACTAACCAAAGAGCTATTGAGGAAAGTCAGGATTAATGATCTATTTTATAATCTTAGCCTTCCAATCAAATGCCTTGAATTCATTATCTTGTTTAAAACCCTGTGCACACATCTTCACCCTGTGGTCATAGCAGCTCGTGTGGGGAAGGTGACAGGAAGCACCAAGTTCATGGTGGCCTCTACTTGCCCTGCGGCCATTGATATGCTGCGCCTTTGACTTCCCCTGAACTAGTACCCAGGACATCTTCACAAGATTATAACTCTTTTTATTGTGATCGATACCTTCAGTTGGAGTCTCCTGCTATTTTCATCCCAAAGTGTATTATCAATGCATTCTTATACTAATCTTTTTTTTTTTTTTTTTTTTTTTTTTTTTTTTTTTTTAGACAGGGTTTCTCTGTGTAGTTTTGGTGCCTGTCCTGGATCTCGCTCTGTAAACAAGGCTGGCCTCAAACTCACAGAGATCCGCCTGCCTCTTATCTTACATGAGGTAATTTCAGGTTTTTTTCTTTCATTTTCAAATCATTTATAGCAAGTTTTTGATTTCTTTTGGAATACTCAGTGGTACTGGGGCTTCATAGAAGCAGCAGCTGACAGAACATAGATGGCAGAACACAGCTTGTTCTATTCCATCCATCCATCCATCCATCCATCCATCCATCCATCCATCCATCCATCCATCCAACCTCTATCTATCATCTCTCTATGTATCACCTACCTATCTATCTATCTGTCTGTCTGTCTGTCTATCATATCTATCTATCTATCTATCTATCTATCTATCTATCTATCTATCTATCTATCTATCTATCTATCTATCTATCTATCTATCTATCTATCATCCAGCTATCTATCTATCTGTCTATCCTTCATCTATCTATCTATCTATCATCTATCTATCTATCTATCTATCTATCTATCTATCTATCTATCTATCTATCTATCTATCATCTATCTATCTATCTAGAGTAGTGTGAATGCCATGAAGTTTGTGTGGGAGGACAACTGTGGAAGCCAGTTGACTTCTTCCATTTGTGGGTCCTGGGATTAAAATCAAATCACTGGGCTTGGGAACAAGCACCTCTATGTGCTGATCCATCTCTCCAGCCTCAAGAAGTCTGTTTAGAATCAGAAATTTATTCACACCACTTACTCCATCACTGTATGTTCTAGGATCTAGGAATATTTCTGCCCTTTATCTTTTGTTGGTCTCCTTGAACTTGACACCCAATGTCAAAAAATCTTTGCGTCTATTTGATTTTCTCTACCTGTCTAGGCTCCCACCTAGACCTGGCCTCTCTTCAGTGACCTCATTCCATTGCCATCTGCATCCCAGCATGGTGCACCTTTGTTTTAAAGCTTAGTCCTAGACCTCATGCAGAGGATGCATCAGTGTTTGCTGAACCAAATATGAAAACGCTTTAGCCTTCCTCCTGTCTCTGTGTCTGAGTGTTTCACAGTCCCTGTGGCGTAGGAAACTGTCAGGAGCCAGAGCTCATAGGGCTGAAATTAGCAGCCACATGCCACACCTTCTTGAGTTTAGTTGTTTCTCCTGTGTGAGTCTTGAGACTTTTATTTTAGGTCCCCTTCCAGTTGTTCAGTTCTAAATGTTAGCTAACCCCTCGGTTTCCCACCTCACTTTCCAGTATGTCTCCAGCTAACCCTCCCAGTGTTCTGGCTGTGTACAAGCTAGACCTAAGTTCCTCTAGGCTCAACTGGCCTCTTGCCTCGGCCTCGGGAGTACTCAGTATTACTTGCCTAGCTCCCTGCTTCTCTTGACTAAGTATTAAGTGTGTCATCTTCTACTCTTTCTACTTAGCTCCATTGCCTATTCACTTAAAAAAATTAGCAGAATTGTGCCTCTAATGCCTAGAAATCTGGCTGGTTTTATAAACACTAAATTAGGAAATTACCATGCTAATGCTAGGTATTATTTTGTAGCCATCGAGAGGTTACAGAATTTTTCACTTGAGAAAAAAATGACAGAACTATAGCAGGGTTAATTGATTTCCTAAGTCCAGCAGCTGATTGCAGTAATACCAGATTCAACCCCAAGTCTATTTATCTCCAGAGCCACTAATGGCCATTATTCCCTGTTCTTTTCTTTTCCTTCTCTTCTTCTACCTTTCACTTTCTCCTGTCCACCTTCTCTCCTCTCTCCATCTTCTCTTCTCTACCCCCACTTCCCCCCATTTCTTACTTCTTTCTGAGATAATTCTCACCAGGCAGCTAAGGCTGGCCCAGAACTCGTGTGGCCGAAGCTGACCGCAAACCTGAAAGCCTCCCACTCGTTTCCTAGGTTCTGGATTGTAGATGTGTGGCCCCGCTCCCAGATCTTGTGTCGTACTGTTAAGATGTGGACTAAATGATATTAACTGGACAGTTACCTTTTCAATATCGTGTGTGTATGGGGGTGGGGGTAGGGAGGCAACAATGACGGACTGCACATTTACTTCATTGATGGCCCAGCAGTCACTTCTGAACATTATCCCAGAAAAAAATGAAAACATACATTTATATAAAACCTACACACAACTGTCCATAGCAGCTTTATTTTTTAACATCCCAAAACTGAGGACAACCAAAATGTCCCATAGT